TATATATATATATATATATATATATATATATATATATATATATATATATATATATATATATATATATACATAAAATAAGTTACCTAATGTTAAATTATAAAATATCTCTATTTTTATTATATCAGAGGAAAATGTAGAAGAAATAAATTATATGGTTAAAAGAGATAAATATTGCGCAATATTTTAAGAGTTAATGGTTAAGGTAACTTTACAAAAAAAAGTTTACATAAACATATGATCTCAAAGACTTTATTTCAGAGATTGGAATATTAAGAATTGTATAAAATTATAGTTTTCTTTTGATAGTTTCTTAAAAAAGAAAGGTTTTTCTTTCAAACTCAATAGGCAGGATATTATCTTCATTTTTTATATATGATCACAATCTGATAGATGTCAATGGTATAAAAAGAGTTCAAGTAATATATTACTGTCTCCAACTTATACATTAATGGATGAAATTAAATTTTCTTTTCTGCAGATTTTTGTTTTATTAATTACCTATAAAGAAATACTCTTGGTAGCTTCCAATAAAATCGTTAGTTTAAAAAATATTAATTTTAGTAGAATTTTTAATTCTGTATCTTTCTAAAATAAGATCCTTTAGACTTTACATGTTCATTTAAACTTCTCTTTATAAAATAACTTCAAGAATCAACTCCTAAAATATTAAACAGTACTTAAAAAACCTTTTGCATATATACTGTAAATATATTTATAAACTTACATCACTGGGTTCCAATACAATAACTTGATTCGGATCATTTAACTTCCTGGATAGCTTAGCAGCCATTGTGCAACCAGCAGTACCACCTCCAACCACGAGAATCTTGCAGCTAAAGCAATAAATTAAAATCCTATTAAATACAATATACTTGAATAACATAACTGTTTCTGTGTAATATAGTATACTTACGAATAATGGATTTGTCTGCATTCATCTCTCATCAGCAAATTTCTTGAAAATGATGGAAGATTACGAAATAACAGTAAATGAGACATGGTAAAAATTGAATGTGACACTACACAGCAAATATGTACCTATGTAAATAAATTTATCAATTAGTAAAATTTATTGAAGCAACCACAAATTTGCAAATGCAATTGTGATATCCACGATGTAATCACCACATTCATTCGTAAAATGTAACGATACAGAAATATCAACAATATGATATGATAAGAATTATCGTGTTATATATTGATGTATTCTCGGAGATTATTGAAAATCCGCACTTTACATAAGTTTGCACACACTTTGAGTTTCTCACACTAGGTTAATCCTTCTCACTTTTCGAATATTTGTCATATTTTATCTCATGATATCAAACACCATTTTCGGAACCACTTGCGCGAATCAACAAAAATTCGCCTTCGTTCGGTCGCGTTACGTCATATAATCGTCGCAAATGCAATATATCCGGCATATTCTGTAATGGACCAAGACTTCAGACTTCAATTGTTGGCTGAGCACACCTTGACTTAAGTGGCCCTACGCCATTGCACAGCTAGATGCTTCCATGGGTGCGTTCGAAAACACTGAAAGTCCACGACGGAAAGTGGCTGTGGTGGATGGGCTTGGTGGGGTTAGTGGAGTTGGTATCGAGAGGAGTTTTCGAACAGCCATGGAAGAATGCTCAATGTGACATACTACATGTGTGTTGTGCCTACATATGTGTTGTACAAAATGGCTGATCGAAAGCGTATTTCGACATTAGCTATAATTGCTTCTCAGCAAAATAATAATAAATTAATAAATTTAGTAATTAATTAATTAATTAATTTAGTAATTATTAATTTATAATTTAGTTATCTGGAAAGTTAATTGGCTATATATTTCTCGGTCCGAGAACTCGGATCGATTTCTAGCATCGTGGGCACCAGGCCTAAGGAAATTTATAAACTTATTTATTACTCCTTACCTTTAACATCGTATATATAGACATTTCCCTTGTCATCCTTTTGTATATTTTTTTAAATATCCATGCATAAAATATGACGACCCGAGATTAAATTTTCCATTTTTTTTCACAAATTGTTACTGATTCGTGACTTTTAACGTGCCTCGTATCTCGTAAGAAAATTTCAGAACCTATAAAATACAAAAAGCTTAATAAGCTTTATTTATATTTAAAGACAATATTCTGACAATATACATCACTATAGAAATAAACCTAAACCTACGTAGTACGGAGCACCCCATTTAAATTTTTTATCTTACCGTGATGGCTAATGGTTGTACGAATGTTTCGAAGAACAAAAAACCATAAATAATTTAGTAATTTCATACTGTATTGCACTCTTTGCGCACTCTCCACCATCTCCACCGATTCACACCGCGCAAAAGAGAGTGGAGAAAAGTCACACGAGTGGTCCACGGAGTACGGTTTTCGAACGGCCATGGTCGCATGGTCAGTGTGCCCACTAGGGGTTTTCGAACGATCTGAGTGTGACAAAATACACACGGGTGATGTTTTCGAACGCACCCCAGGGGGTGCTCCGTACTACGTAGGTTTAGGTTTATTTCTATAGTGATGTATATTGTCAGAATATTGTCTTTAAATATAAATAAAGCTTATTAAGCTTTTTGTATTTTATAGGTTCTGAAATTTTCTTACGAGATACGAGGCACGTTAAAAGTCACGAATCAGTAACAATTTGTGAAAAAAAATGGAAAATTTAATCCCGGGTCGTCATATTTTATGCATGGATATTTAAAAAAATATACAAAAGGATGACAAGGGAAATGTCTATATATACGATGTTAAAGGTAAGGAGTAATAAATAAGTTTATAAATTTCCTTAGGCCTGGTGCCCACGATGCTAGAAATCGATCCGAGTTCTCGGACCGAGAAATATATAGCCAATTAACTTTCCAGATAACTAAATTATAAATTAATAATTACTAAATTAATTAATTACTAAATTTATTATTTTATTATTATTTTTCTGAGAAGCAATTATAGCTAATGTCGAAATACGCTTTCGATCAGCCATTTTGTACAACACATATGTAGGCACAACACACATGTAGTATGTCACATTGAGCATTCTTCCATGGCTGTTCGAAAACTCCTCTCGATACCAACTCCACTAACCCCACCAAGCCCATCCACCACAGCCACTTTCCGTCGTGGACTTTCAGTGTTTTCGAACGCACCCCAGCTGCAATAGCCACAGCAGGAAGTGACATCAAAATTCATGACGTCACAAACTCGTCGAAGTGCTTTCGCAGTGCAATGTAACCTATTTAGGAATGCTATTGGTAATACTGACAGTATTTGTAGTAAATAACGGAACGCAGCCATATACACATTGGATTCCGGGGGATCACGGGTTTATACGAAGATAAATCGTGTGACTGATATAGATTACACGTCAAAACTTGAATGTCATACTGTTGCATACGAGTGAATAGGTAGTAACAAAAAGTTTGATGTAGCTTTTAGAATTTATTTCGTATAATATAATATTTTTGGTTTTAAAAGACACGTAAAGTTGATACAAATTTCAATTTGTGCAACGTAGTGTGTGATTTCTACAAAAATGGGTATGTGTGAACTATTTATTTCAATAATAATGTAACTATTTATTCCAATCATGTCAAAAGACAATATAAAAGAATTATTTATATTACAGGTTCTAGTTCTAGTAAAGGAAAAGAACAGGTTCTAGTACAAGAAAAGAAAAATATTTCTGATACAAGAAGACAAGTTAACATCAAGAGTGATGCAAACTTGGAATTTAATTCTAATAGAAATACAAGAACAGCCGGATATGATTGTTATTTACATAATCATGTCAATAATCCACCTAAGGTTTCTTGCAAACCGTTCAATGATTCAACCAAAACAGCTACCAACAAACCAAGTAATGATTTATCTAAATCAACTACTTACAATTCAAGTAATGATTTATCCAAAACAGTTAGTAGCAAACTAAATATTGGTTTACCCAAGTTAGTTACTAACAAACTAAGTAATATTTCATCAAGATCACCTACTACCCAGAGAGCACAAAATATTCTGAGAATATTCTAACAAGATGATTTTCATATATTCTGATATAGGATCGACAAACACATATAGGAGTTATTATATTCACACATAGAGAAAATTAAATTTTATATATGAAGAAATATAATCTTGAATTAACAAACGATTAACATTGATTTTACCAACAACAAGCAACATACGATAACAAATATATTTATTTATATATATATATATATATATATATTTATTTATTTATTTATTTATATTTACCCACACAGCAGAGGTGTCCAAAATATATCATAGCGATATCCTAAAGATATATTTGGGATATGTGATATCTTCAAGATATCTTTATGATATATTTGGGACATTCCTGCTGTGTGGGTTACATATATTTATATAGAAAGCAACATATGATAACAAATATATTTATATAGAAAAGTCATTCTTATACACGGCGACACAGCCTTAAATTCACGAAACATCAATATAGATTTCTCCATAGTGAATATATTTTCAATAATGTACATCCCTTATAGAAATATCATACTAAGAATCATTGATAATTACTTATTTTCAGTATTAAAAATACTGGATAATAAGTAATTGTCAATGATTCTTAGTATGATATTTCTATAAGGGATAATTACATAATGTATAATATACATAAAATATTACTACACTATAAACATTTATATTGAAGAATAATATATTCATCATCTTTATTCTTATTCTCGGCAGGGCACGCCGAGTTTTTGATCCTCAACGTTAAGTTTTTCTCAATTTGATACTTCGATATTTCAGCGTTCAATTATTAACCCAGATAGCCAAATCTGCCCTTATAGAAATATCATACTAAGAATCATTGATAATTACTTATTTTCAGTATTAAAAATACTGGATAATAAGTAATTATCAATGATTCTTAGTATGATATTTCTATAAGGGTGCGCGAACAGATTTCGAGCAAAGCTTGCTATCAACTTTTGATGTAAATAGATAACAAATTTGATGCAGGATCTGTTATATCAAATCTTGCTGCCAAATTGCCGCCAGATATGCGGTAGAGCTTGTTGTCGGATAATTGCTGCAAATTTGGTACCAATTGCCCGACAGCAAGATCTGTCGCCAAAACCGTAACTTAATGTAGACACAGATGACTATGGTTTTGCTGTGGGTTTTTGATCAAATTTGCTGCCAATCTGCGCGCAGTCTGCGCTCAATTTGCTTATTGGCTAATATTAATAAAATATGATAAATTACGATATATCATATGAAAACGTTTCGGTTAGTATTTCGGTTAGTACCGTTTAGAAATGTGTGGGAAACATTTTATAAATGGTTATGAAATGATATATACATTTAGAAAACATATGTGAAACCAATATGCTACAAGGGATGGTGTGCCCCAACTATAGATATAGAAAACAACAAATTGACATAAGATATTGGCATAAGACATAATTGATTAAAAAATTTTTTTTTTTATTTAAAATATCTGATCATTATTACAAAATTTTTTTTTTATTTAAAATATCTGATCATTATTACATCACACAATATATTTATCACACAATTACTTGTGTAATAAATACTTATACATATACATACTTGGTTAATTATATTAATCTCACTCCTTTGTTGAATTAAATTAATTTAAAACATCTGCACTTTGTTTAAGTTAACATATACTTTGCGTTTTGTAGTTTTTGTTTTGATAATATTTGTTTTGGTTTTTTTTGTTTGGTGTTTTTGTATTGGTATTTTTTGTTTGGTTCTTTTCTTTATACGTACTCGGCGTCTTTTTTTTTCTTTTGTAAAGACTGTTATGGTCTCACTGCTTTTTGTGTAGATTAGGTACAAATCTTTTACATTATTTTTACAGCAAAGAAAATGTATGTACCTTTGGAATTTCATGGCTAACTGCATTTTTTATTGTGGAATCATTAATTGAAATCCATTTTGTGTGCTTATTACGCACAACGTTTATATAATGTCCATTAGTTATACCATTGTAGAAAATTGCACTAATAATTTTATATATATCTGTGTCTATATGTATCTTTGACGTTACCCTTATAGAAATATCATACTAAGAATCATTGATAATTACTTATTATCCAGTATTTTTAATACTGAAAATAAGTAATTATCAATGATTCTTAGTATGATATTTCTATAAGGGAAATACATTTTTAATTTTTAAATTTGTGATTTTAAACGTTTTGTTATATTAGCAGTTTTAAATAATTTTAAAATAAAGATATTTTTTGTTATTATTATCTCTTTTTTCAATTATACTAAGTTTTCTCCACAAAGAATATATACTTTTTCTTTATTTTTTCAACTTTTAAAATTATATTCTATTAATTCTTGTAAAGTATATAATTTTTTCAACTTTTCTGGCAATAGAAGTAATATGATTTGACTGGATTTCTATATTTGTAGCATATTTTACTATGAAATTTCCTCCGTGTAGTGATGTATATTTTCTTCTAATGTAAACTCGCAGGCTGCGTTCCAATATTTACTACTAATACTGGAATTCTATACGTGTACGTGACACAAATTATAGATCTTGAATACTGGTAGTAAATATCGGGACGCAGTCGTAATCATCATTGAACTTTATTAAGTTTATCAATGAAATTGTTTTATTTTATTTACGCGTTTACACTAGACGAAAAGATATATGATTGATACTTATTGCGCACGTAATATACGTTTATTTTGATTGGTGCAGTCTATACGGAAATCTTTATAATATTTCACCTACGAAAATCTTTTCTTACTCACCAATTAATTTCAAATTCAGATTATACATTTGCAATGCGGATCGCGGACATCACAAGCGCAAATTGATATAAAACTATAAGGAAATGTACGTGAAATTATAAATATATCTTAATATGTACATCTAATGGTTGACTGTGAATCTTTTTCTGTAGTCTAGCGTAAATTCGTGAATCAATAACAATTATTATAAATACATGCTACTTATTGCAGCCTATACAGGGTATCTCAAAACTGGTAGAACACCCGTTAGAGGTAGGTAGGGGGTGCAATTTGAAATTGAAAGTTCCTCTTGCATTTTTGGATCCGACAATTAGTTAACGAAATATTAATGAATTAAGTCTGCCAATCTCTTACCGTCCTGAGTGAGCGCTCAGAGACGTAGAACGCTGTGGACTTCTCGGGGGCCCTTCTTGTCCGTTTGTCTCCCCTTTTTGTGTCACAAGGGAATAAATGTGGATGAGTGAATGAGTAGATGTATGGGTGAGTGCCTGACCTGGACTAGGAGGGGAAGTGGATGGCAAGTTTTCTGTATGTGGGAGTAATTTGCATCGTTTGGCGATGCAAATGGACAAACTCATTCGCTCATGTGCGTGCGTACGTGTGTCTGAAAAAAATCTGAGAATCTGCGCGAAAATAAAAAGAACTTTTTGCTGGCAAGATTTCGAGATCTCCGTATTGCCTGAACCAATCTTAATCAAACTTGGTTAAATTACGCGCGCACTAAACATTATACAAGAAAACTTTCATCAGATTTTCGATTATAGTTTTCGTGCTTGAGATATTTGACTCGGAAAACCAATCGACCCAGAAATTTCAGATAAGTTTACACGGTCGCGTTATTTTGTTTCATACGTACTCGGCGTCACGCCGCGACCGCGGCGCTTGATTACATATTTTGCATCATGTTTTTACACATATATAATGCTCTATTATATTCTTCATACCATTTATATTGCTAATAACATGTTATAAATTAAAAGTTATGTATATAAACTCAAAATAAAATAAAGATTTTTAATAATAAATAACGTGCAGCATTTATTTATGATAAAGAGGTACACAAAAAAATATAAATTTAGTCACATCAATGTGGTTGGAAATATTTTGTTGATTCAGTAGCACTATTATAAAAATCAATAAGTTATGTCATTTAATTATTAGCTTATTGGTTTTAATAATATTGCTAATCAACAAAATTCCAATCACACTAATTGAATTTACATTTTTTTCAGCGTGCACAGAGAATTTCGTAGCACATTTTACTATAAAATTTCTTCTATGTAGTGATGTATCTTTTCCCTTAATGTGAACTCACAGGCTACGTTCCAATATTTACTACTAGTATTGAAACTCTATAGTTTGTGTACGTAACACAAACTATAGATCTTCAATACTGGTAGTGAATATCGGAACACAGTCATAAACATCATTGAACTTTATTACATTTATCAATGAAATTGTTTTATTTTATTTATAAATTTACGCTAGACGAAAAGATACATAATTGATTTAATATTTATTGCACACGTATGCATCCATTCTGATTGGTACAGTCAATATGGAAATCTTTATAATATTTATAATATTTTTAATATTTATTATTATCTAATATTTATTATTATAAATATTTCTAATATTTATTATTATCTTTATAATATTTCACCTACGAAAATTTTCTTTCTCGCCAATTAATTTTAAATTCAGATTATATGTTTGCAATGCAGATCGCAGACATCACAAACGCAGATTGACATAACACTATAAGAAAATATACTTGAAATTATAATTACTTGATATGTACATCCTAAATAGTTGATCCTAAATCTTTTCCTGTAGTCTAACGTAAATTTGTGAACATGTTGCTTATTGTAGCCTATATATATTACAAACGCAATCTGACGGACAAACGCGCGTCGCTTGTGTGCGTGCATATACGTGTGATCTGAAGCTAAATCGCTTGGCGATGCAAATGCGGCTTGATGGACAAACTGATTCGCTTGTGTGCGTGTGTACGTGTGTCTGAAAAAAATGAGAATCTGCACGAAAATAAAAAGGCTTTTTAGCGGGCGAGATTTTAAGATCTCCATATTGCCTGCACCAATTTTAATCAAACTTGGTGCAAATTACGCGCGCGCTAAACATTATATAGGGAAACTTTCATAAGATTTTTTATTATAGTTTATTATAGTTTTCGTGCTTGAGATATTTTTGACTCGGAAGACCAATCAACTCAGAAATTCCAGATAAGCTTACGCGGTCGCGTTGTTTTGTTCGATATGTACTCGGCGTCACGCCGCGACCGCGGAGCTTGATAATTCGGAAAGAATATTCTTACATGGTTTTAAGAATATTCTAAATATTATTGGAATATTATTTGTTATGTTCTCAGAATATTTTATTAAAACAGCACAGAATATTCGAAGAATATTTTAACAAGATGATTTTTACGCATCCAGAAAATATTCGGAAAGAATATTCTTATATCGTTTTAAGAACGTTGTGAATATTATTAGAATATTATTTGCTAAATTCTCAGAATATTCTAAGAACATTTTAATAACTTCACATTACCGAACATTGTAGTAAGGTTATGGATAGGTAGTAAGCTTACACATTTTAACGAGCATCCCAGATACAACACAAAATCATTTTGATGTTAAGATAATATCATTTTGACATCAATGTCTTGAAATTGTCATAAAAATGGTATCGTTTGACGTCAAAATGACATCACTTTTATATCATTTGACGTCATTTTAATTTTTATATAACTTTATATTCTACCTGCCCTACTGAAAAGATCCAGCTGAGATCTCAATTGAGAATTCACTTACAGAATAATTACTCTGTCAAAATATTGTGAGAGAGAAAAAAGGAATATTCTCTCTTTTGTGAGCATGTTGTATGTTAAAGTTTGATTACTTATACAACATTGTATTAATATTAATCGCATTGTGATTGTTGTTACATCCTTTGAAACATTTATCGAACAAATATGTCATTACATTTTTGAACGATATTAGAATATATTGTAAATATAATCCACCAAAATATTGTTACAGCGCATTGGCATCACCAGTTCTCGTACGATCGCTTGAGGTTAAGCATTTAAACAGCACAGTCATCTAAAGATAGATGCCGTGTGACACGAGATCGAATCCACGCGAATCTTACGAATAAATGAAATGACACAAAATATGAAATGTTAGATTTTTTTGTTATTTAAATAAAATAATACTTCATTTTTCACTAAGTAAAATTATGTAATATTACTGAGATATTGCAATATTACTGTGATATATTATATATATAATATTATATGCTGTGTGGGTAATGTGCTGTGGGAAGGTTTAGAATATTCATAAGATATTCTTTAGAATATTCATAGGATGTTCATAGAACGTAATTTTTTGTCTACTTTATATGTTCTCTTGAAAGTTATTAGGAACTTCGAAGTATCATGTGAGAATATTCTACGAATATTTAAATATCCCTGATATTATTCTCAGAATGTTCATAGAACGTATTTGTACTGTCTGGGTAACAACTCAAGTGATAATGTTGTAAATGTAGATGCAAAACTATATAACGATTGTGAAAGAAAAAACTGTAACAGTTATCATACTTTCACTGAGCTAGGCAAACTGAGCACATATTGCAATGTATTATCCAAAGTTGATTGCAAAGATATAATTGATGTTCAATAAAATTTTGAAAAGAATGCTCTCTATACTAAGGAAGAGTACAATCTTAAAAGTAAAAAAATTTATGCAGGAAGTAAAGTACCCACAAATATACCTGATGTATTGTCCTTAAAAATACTTACAAAGGATGACTTTATACCAATGTGGATTTCATGGAAGAATGACTTCCTCACAAATATGAAGTTGATTGATCAAGCAGAAAATAATAAAGAAAAGTGGGGTATCATGCTCTTGAATCGTTTGGGACTTGTTGGACAAGACATATACAGAACTTTTACATTTGATGATAGTCAAGCGAATGATGATATAAATGTATTACTTGAGAAATTTGATCATTATTGCATGTTTGGTGGCAAAAAAAGAAAACATAATGAAGATATTGATGCATATGTAAATAACTTGAAGGTATATTTAATATAACTATGTTTCTTCTATACTTGTAGACAAATTATAAATTTTTTTATCTCAGTCCTAAATCCTGTTCATATCAAATTATAAAATAGATTTATATAATGAGATACTAACAAATATAATATAATATAAGAAGAATATACAATTTTTTAATTTCTCATTCTGATTTGAAAAGACTTTGTATGTAGAATTGATATGAAATTTATGTAAGATTCATTGAAGTTATGTGTATGTAGTAATAAGTACAATATAAAGTAATTAGTCTACAATTAAATTTTTTAGAAATGTTTATTGCAGATAATATTTGTTTTTATGCCAGAATATGTAAAAAATATTAATATATTTTTCATTTCTTCCTATGTTGAATCATATATAATGCAATATTTTTTTCTTCTAGGTAATAGCATCGAAATATACGACTAATGTGGATGAGATAGTAAAGAAGAAAATTCTGGAGGAAATAGATGTTGGAAAATTTACAAACAATGCTAAGATCTTAATTCCAGGATTCTCATTTCCATCAAGCACAATGTTTTTAACTATACAAGAAATAACACATATTTGGATGAGGTATGAAAATGTAAGTTTTAAAAAAGATGAAAAAATTGTTAATTATACAGTTAAAAACTGTAGCAAGTGTAGTTTAGACCATGCAATAAATTGCTGTCGAGCACATGGTAGACAATGTACGAAGTGTGGTAACATGAATCACCATTGGAGCAGATGTCCATCTCAATATAAAGAGAATTGTTCATATTGTGGAGAAAGTCACTTCTATCGACAGTGTCCTGCTTATATGAATGAATGTAGCAAATGTTGTAGACTAAATCATTTTTATTGGATGTGTGGAATTTTAAAGATCTTAAACTGCAATTATTGTGGTTTAACGCATATCGCGTCTAAATCCGCGTGCTCTGCAGTAAATACTATATGTGTAAACTGCAACAAAATAGGTCACGTTTCAGGAAAATGTCGGAAGAATACACGTACATTTTAATTTGAATTAGGAGCATTGCTTTTACTTTTTGTTTTGTAATATGCTTTTTTTCTTATTTTAATGTTTAATATTAAAAATACTACAGAGTGAAGCACATAATTGAAATTATTTCATAAGGGATTACTTTGTTTTGAAACCATAATTAAAACAATGAACAATTGTTATATTCAGAATCTAGTAAATCAAATAGG